AGGAGGGAGCAGGGAGGAGGAGGAGGAGGAGAGGAGGAGGAGGAGGAGGAGCAGGAGGAGGAGGAGACGGAGAAGAAGTGCGGAGGAGGAGGAGAAGGAGACGGCAACCGGATGATCACAGAGGCCGCAGTAAACACGTCGGGCGCCGGCGCCCAAGACATCCCGCACAGTTTATGACGACAGCATGCTACAGGGGATATCATCTTCCCAAAGTAAGGTATAATTTACGGTATGTGTTGATTTTTACCCATGATGTGACACATCCCGCGCTCTTGCAAACATCCCACCCACCCACCCGCAACTTGGTTTGCAAAACCCACGACGACGATGACGACGCCGACGACGACGACGACAACGACGACACCGACGACGACGACGTCAACGACGCCGACGACGACGACGACGACGACACCGACGACGACGACGACGGTGGTGACGACGACGACGCCGACGTCGGTGACGACGAAGACGACGACAACGCCGACGCCGACGACGACGACGACGAAGACGACGACGACGTCGCCAACGAAGACGACGACGAGGGTGGAGGGAGGACGACGACGGCGACAACGACGACAACGATGACAACGACGAGGGAGGAGGGAGGACGGCGACGACGCGAACGACGAAGAAGGAGGAAGGACGGCGACGCCGACGACGACAACGACGAGGGAGGAGGGAAGACGACGACGACGACAACGACGAGGACGACGACGACGACGGCGCGATAGGAGGGACGACGACGAGACGCCGACGACGGACGACGACGACGACGACGAGGGAGGAGGAGGAAGGACGACCACGGCGACAACGACGACGGAAACGACCACGACGCCAGAGAGGACGACGACGACGAACACGAGGAAAGACAGAGGACGACGTAGGCGACGACGACGACGACGACGACGAAGACGACGACGCAAGAGCGCGCGCGCACGCTTTCGTTGAAAATCCGTGTTGCGAAACTTTGGGTTGTTGTAGGTTTTTTGGACACACGTTTTTTGAAATCCTTCCGAAACCGATGGGTTTTGAAGGATTTCGGCATACGCGCGCGACGACGCGCGTGTCTGCACTTCGTCTCATTTTTTGCAGAGGATTCTCGCGACGGCACACGCGCAAGGGCGTTCGACAGATTTCGACATGCGCGCGCGACGCCCGTTTGGTAGCATGTTGTGAAGATCTTGAAAAACCTATGGTTTTCTTAAGATTTCGAAAAAGCTCGCGCGTAAGCTTTTTTAGCAAATCAGTGTTGCGAAACCCTGTGTTTGTATGTTTTTTGGAAACTCGATTGCGAAATCCTTCCGACACCGAAGGTTTCTGAAGGATTTCGGCATGCGCGCGCGGCGACGCGCGCGTGTGCACTTCGTCATTTTTTGTACAAGGGATTCGCGAAAAAATGTTATGTTAGAACGAATCATGTCACCGCATAGCGTATTTTTTTCAAGGGGACCTCAGGGGGGGGATACCGGCTGGCCTGGGACATTGTGATTTTAAATTTAGGATGGACATGTGGTCAGAATCATATGTGATTTACATACCCGAAAGGGGGACCGATAACGCCACGGGGGGGGGAGATCCTATTCTGCTTTTAGAAAGGAGAATCCACTTTGACCGTCTTGAAGCTGTCCTCTCCACTGCTCGTGCAAACATCCCACCCTCCCAGCCGCAACTTGGTCGCAAGACCTCTTAAGACAAGACCGTGACGGTGGGCACCAGATGGCACTTGGCCACGACACCGACGCCGACGACGACAGCGACAACGACGACGACGGCGCCGCCGACACCGACGACGACGACAACGACGACGTCTCCAACGACTTCGACGACGACAGCGACTACGACGACGACGACACCGACGACGACGACGACGCCAGGACGACGACGACGATGACAACGACGACGACGACGCCGACGCCGACGACGCCGACGACGACGACGACGAAGACAACGACGACGACGACGACGACGACAACGACGTCGCCAACGAAGACGACGACGACGAGGGAGGAGGGAGGACGACGACGGCGACAACGACGACAACGACGACAACGACGAGGGAGGAGGGAGGGCGGCGACGACGCGAACGACGAAGAAGGAGGAAGGACGGCGACGCCGACGACGACAACGACGAGGGAGGAGGGAAGACGACGACGACGACGACGACGACGACGACGGCGACGAAATCGGAGGGACGACGACGACGACGCCGACGACGGACGACGACGACGACGAGGGAGGAGGAGGAAGGACGACCACGGCGACAAGGACGACGGAAACGACCACGACGCCAACGAGGACGACGACGACGAACACGAGGAAAGACAGAGGACGACGTAGGCGACGACGACGACGACGCGGGAGGAGGGAGGACGGCGACGACGACGACGGCGACGACGCAAGAGCGCGCGCGCACGCATTTGTTGAAAATCCGTGTTGCGAAACCTTGGGTTTTTGTAGGTTTTTTGGACACACGATTTTGAAATCCTTCCGAAACCAAAGGGTTTTGAAGGATTTCGGCATACGCGCGCGACGACGCGCGCGTCTGCACTTCGTCCCATGTTTTGCAGAGGATTCCCGCGACGGCACACGCGCAAGGGCGTTCGACAGATTTCGACATGCGCGCGCGACGCCTGTTTGGTAGCATGTTGTGAAAATCTTAAAAATCTTAAGATTTCGCAAGAGCTCGCGCGGAAGCTTTTTTTCACAAGTCAGTGCTGCGAAACCCTGTGTTTTTTTGTATGTGTTTTGGAAACTCGATTGCGAAATCCTTCCGGCATCGCGCGCGTGTGCACTTCGTCCTATTTGTTGCAAGGGATCCGCGAAAAAGTGTGACGTTAGAACAAAACATGTCACCGCATAGTTTTTTCTTTTTCACCAGGGAACCTCAAGGGGGGGATACCGTCTGGCCTGGGACACTGTGACTTCATATTTAGGATGGACATGTGGTCATAATCGTACATGATTCACATACCCGAAAGGGGGACCGATAACGCCAGGGGGGGTAGATCCTATATTGTTTTTAGAAAGGAGAATTAAGGTATAGTTTAAGGTATGTGTTGGGGTATGTGTTAAGGTATGTGTTTAAGGTATGCGTTAAGGTATGTGTTCTTATGCTATAGGTGATAGACTAAGGTATTTGCTCGAAATTAATTCGAACACATACCTTAAACTATTGCGCGGGCCACAGAATGTGAAACATCATTGATCATAGTACACTTGCATCAGATAACTTGGTGAAGCTATAGGTTTGTTTGAGTACATACATGTGGGGAGCAAGCCTTTGGAAGCATGAGCTAAAAAAAAACATGCTCCCGAATTTTGGTCCTTCCAGACCTCTGGGGAGAAGGAAGGCAAGGGGGTGGCCTCCTTGTCGGCAGTGGGCCTCAGGACCATTCCTTTCGCCTCGGCCCCGGCCCTGGTCCGGCCCGGGTCCCCGCCCCAGCCCTTGCCTGCCTCGGCCCGGGAATCGGGCACTCCTGGCCCAGGCCCGGCCTGGCCGAGGCCCTGGCCTCGGCCCCGGCCCCGGCCTCGGCCTCGGCCCCGGCTCCATCCCCAGCCCCGGCCCCGCCCGCCCCCGAGGAGACAGACGGCTCTTCTCCATTTTTCTCCTCCTCCTCCTCCTCCTCCTCCTCCATTCTTTTTCTTTCTAAATAATTTCTCCCTGTCGCACCCCGAGGCCAGTTTTTAGGGCTTGCCGGGCGCTTCGCTTGAGATTCTGCCACCATTTATGACCCTGAAGCTCATGGCAACAGCTTCGCAGATGGAGGGCGGGTCGTTTTCAACATGTGACTATCGCGTGAGCGCCCCGCGCGCATTCGTTTTAAACATCCCAAGGGTTTCGCGGATTGAAGGTGGGTGACCTTCGTTTTGAACATTTCCCAGAGTTTCACGGATTGGAGGCGGGTCGATTTCAAAATGTGGCTATCGCCTAAGCGCAGCGTGTACTCGTTTCACAAACTTCCGAAAGCTTAGCGGATTGAGGGCGGTGCCTCTTCAAACTGCGAATCTCGCCATAGCGCCGCGTACATCCGTCTTCAGCATTTCAAGAGCTGCACGGAGTGAGGGCGGCTCCTTTTCAAATGGGGCTCTCGGCTCAGAGCCGCGCACATTCGTGTTTTCTTAATTTGCCAGATTGTCGCGGGAGCCCATGATCAACGTATCAGAAACGGCGTTCTGGAAGGATTCAGGATTATAAGGGCGCAACAGCTATGATAATTGTGTGGAAGTCCTAAGCCGGGCGTTCTGGCACGAATCGGGATCGTCAAGTCGACGCAACAGTCAGGTTCATGCATGGCGTTGGAAACCCGGGAACAATTTTCTGGCATACTTCAGGGACTTCAAGCCGTTGTCTTCCAACGAAGCAGTTCCCTCAGTGAAAATCAACCGTTGTAGGGGCCTGTGAAGAGGGAGCTTGGAGGGAATGTTTATTCCAACATCGTTGATGACTTTTGGGTTTACGCTGGTCCTCCTCCTACTCCACCTCCTCCTCCTGATCATCATCCTCCCCCTCCTCCTTCTCCTCCTCCTTCTCCTCAACCTCCTCCGTCTCCTCCTCCTTCTCCTTTTCCTCCCCCTCCCTCTCTCCCTCACCGTCCTCCTCCTCCGCCTCCTCCTCCGCCTCTTCCTCCTCCTCGTCCTCCTCGTCCTCCTCCTCCTCCTCCTCCTCCTGCTCCTCGTCCTTCTCCTCCTCCTCCTTCTCTCCTTTCTGCTCCTCCTCCTTCTCCTCCTTCTCCTCCTCCTCCTCCTCCTCCTACTCCTCCTTCTCCTCCTCCTCCGTCTCCTCCCGCCACCGCCCGTCCCATGTCCCGAGCCTGTGGCAGGGTCATCAGCTCGTCGTTCTCGCTGTCGTGGTCGTGGTCGTGGTCGTGGTCGTCGTGGTCGTGGTCGTGGTCGTGCTCTTGGTCGTGGTCGTGGTCGTGGTCGTCGTCGTCGTGGTCGTCGTCGTGGTGGTCGTCGTCGTCGTCGTGGGTCGGCGGCACCTGACGTAAGGCCTTCAGTAGAATTGAAACTGGACAGCCTGGCGCAGAAAAACAAAACGAACAGCTCGCCATTATCAGGGAGCAGCTCTTGAAACAGCAAGCCGGTGCAGTGCCGTCTGTAAGTGGCATGCACTTGAACTCGTCCCTTGTTGAAGCGCGAAACGAGTTGTCCACCCCAGGCTGGCGCGGGGCGCCGCTTGGGCTGCAGACGGCTTGAGTGCACAGGGGAGGTAATCAATAGCGGGCCCTGGATGCGCCTGGGCGCTAGCAGGACAGCAAACCCCCACATGTGGGGGGGGTCACTCAGAGTTAACAAAAAAGAGTCAGCAGATCTTGAAACAGCAGGCGGCTTCACGACGCCAACGAGGACGACGACGACGAACACGAGGAAAGACAGAGGACGACGTAGGCGACGACGACGACGACGCGGGAGGAGGGAGGACGGCGACGACGACGACGGCGACGACGCAAGAGCGCGCGCGCACGCATTTGTTGAAAATCCGTGTTGCGAAACCTTGGGTTTTTGTAGGTTTTTTGGACACACGATTTTGAAATCCTTCCGAAACCGATGGGTTTTGAAGGATTTCGGCATACGCGCGCGACGACGCGCGCGTCTGCACTTCGTCCCATGTTTTGCAGAGGATTCCCGCGACGGCACACGCGCAAGGGCGTTCGACAGATTTCGACATGCGCGCGCGCGCGACGCCTGTTTGGTAGCATGTTGTGAAAATCTTAAAAATCTTAAGATTTCGCAAGAGCTCGCGCGGAAGCTTTTTTTCACAAGTCAGTGCTGCGAAACCCTGTGTTTTTTGTATGTGTTGTGGAAACTCGATTGCGAAATCCTTCCGGCATCGCGCGCGTGTGCACTTCGTCCTATTTGTTGCAAGGGATCCGCGAAAAAGTGTGACGTTAGAACAAAACATGTCACCGCATAGTGCTTTCTTTTTCACCAGGGAACCTCAAGGGGGGGATACCGTCTGGCCTGGGACACTGTGACTTCATAGTTAGGATGGACATGTGGTCATAATCGTACATGATTCACATACCCGAAAGGGGGACCGATAACGCCAGGGGGGGTAGATCCTATATTGTTTTTAGAAAGGAGAATTAAGGTATAGTTTAAGGTATGTGTTGGGGTATGTGTTAAGGTATGTGTTTAAGGTATGCGTTAAGGTATGTGTTCTTATGCTATAGGTGATAGACTAAGGTATTTGCTCGAAATTAATTCGAACACATACCTTAAACTATTGCGCGGGCCACAGAATGTGAAACATCATTGATCATAGTACACTTGCATCAGATAACTTGGTGAAGCTATAGGTTTGTTTGAGTACATACATGTGGGGAGCAAGCCTTTGGAAGCATGAGCTAAAAAAAAACATGCTCCCGAATTTTGGTCCTTCCAGACCTCTGGGGAGAAGGAAGGCAAGGGGGTGGCCTCCTTGTCGGCAGTGGGCCTCAGGACCATTCCTTTCGCCTCGGCCCCGGCCCTGGTCCGGCCCGGGTCCCCGCCCCAGCCCTTGCCTGCCTCGGCCCGGGAATCGGGCACTCCTGGCCCAGGCCCGGCCTGGCCGAGGCCCTGGCCTCGGCCCCGGCCCCGGCCTCGGCCTCGGCCCCGGCTCCATCCCCAGCCCCGGCCCCGCCCGCCCCCGAGGAGACAGACGGCTCTTCTCCATTTTTCTCCTCCTCCTCCTCCTCCTCCTCCTCCATTCTTTTTCTTTCTAAATAATTTCTCCCTGTCGCACCCCGAGGCCAGTTTTTAGGGCTTGCCGGGCGCTTCGCTTGAGATTCTGCCACCATTTATGACCCTGAAGCTCATGGCAACAGCTTCGCAGATGGAGGGCGGGTCGTTTTCAACATGTGACTATCGCGTGAGCGCCCCGCGCGCATTCGTTTTAAACATCCCAAGGGTTTCGCGGATTGAAGGTGGGTGACCTTCGTTTTGAACATTTCCCAGAGTTTCACGGATTGGAGGCGGGTCGATTTCAAAATGTGGCTATCGCCTAAGCGCAGCGTGTACTCGTTTCACAAACTTCCGAAAGCTTAGCGGATTGAGGGCGGTGCCTCTTCAAACTGCGAATCTCGCCATAGCGCCGCGTACATCCGTCTTCAGCATTTCAAGAGCTGCACGGAGTGAGGGCGGCTCCTTTTCAAATGGGGCTCTCGGCTCAGAGCCGCGCACATTCGTGTTTTCTTAATTTGCCAGATTGTCGCGGGAGCCCATGATCAACGTATCAGAAACGGCGTTCTGGAAGGATTCAGGATTATAAGGGCGCAACAGCTATGATAATTGTGTGGAAGTCCTAAGCCGGGCGTTCTGGCACGAATCGGGATCGTCAAGTCGACGCAACAGTCAGGTTCATGCATGGCGTTGGAAACCCGGGAACAATTTTCTGGCATACTTCAGGGACTTCAAGCCGTTGTCTTCCAACGAAGCAGTTCCCTCAGTGAAAATCAACCGTTGTAGGGGCCTGTGAAGAGGGAGCTTGGAGGGAATGTTTATTCCAACATCGTTGATGACTTTTGGGTTTACGCTGGTCCTCCTCCTACTCCACCTCCTCCTCCTGATCATCATCCTCCCCCTCCTCCTTCTCCTCCTCCTTCTCCTCAACCTCCTCCGTCTCCTCCTCCTTCTCCTTTTCCTCCCCCTCCCTCTCTCCCTCACCGTCCTCCTCCTCCGCCTCCTCCTCCGCCTCTTCCTCCTCCTCGTCCTCCTCGTCCTCCTCCTCCTCCTCCTCCTCCTGCTCCTCGTCCTTCTCCTCCTCCTCCTTCTCTTCTTTCTGCTCCTCCTCCTTCTCCTCCTTCTCCTCCTCCTCCTCCTCTTACTCCTCCTTCTCCTCCTCCTCCGTCTCCTCCCGCCACCGCCCGTCCCATGTCCCGAGCCTGTGGCAGGGTCATCAGCTCGTCGTTCTCGCTGTCGTGGTCGTGGTCGTGGTCGTCGTGGTCGTGGTCGTGGTCGTGCTCTTGGTCGTGGTCGTGGTCGTGGTCGTCGTCGTCGTGGTCGTCGTCGTGGTCGTCGTCGTCGTCGTGGGTCGGCGGCACCTGACGTAAGGCCTTCAGTAGAATTGAAACTGGACAGCCTGGCGCAGAAAAACAAAACGGACAGCTCGCCATTAAAAGGGAGCAGCTCTTGAAACAGCAAGCCGGTGCAGTGCCGTCTGTAAGTGGCATGCACTTGAACTCGTCGCTTGTTGAAGCGCGAAACGAGTTGTCCACCCCAGGCTGGCGCGGGGCGCCGCTTGGGCTGCAGACGGCTTGAGTGCACAGGGGAGGTAATCAATAGCGGGCCCTGGATGCGCCTGGGCGCTAGCAAACCAGCAAACCCCCACGTGTGGGGGCAAGTGGCAAGTGGCAAGTGTGCGCATCTCCGGAGAGGCCCGTCGCGCGGGCGCGCATGCAGGAACTAAAACAAAAACAAACAGCGAGAATATCGCACGGCCACGTGTGGGGGGGGTCACTCAGAGTTAAAAAAAAGAGTCAGCAGATCTTGAAACAGCAGGCGGCTTCATGGCCCCCTGTAAGTGGCAGGCGGTTGGACTTGCTCCTGGAGGAAGCGCCATCCAATCTGTCTGCCGCAGGCAATTCTGAGGCACCGCTTGGGCAAGTGCACAACAGACACAAGTGCATTGCTCGCTATGGATGCGCATAGACGGAGGCAGTACAGCTCGGCACTCCTCAAGCTCACTCTTAGCCATTCATAATCAGGTGCTACCTCCCCAAATGGCATGAGGGACCAGGGATCTGGTGGATACAGGCCCTGGTCCCTGGGGGCCTCCCACAACTTCAGCTTTTCATCTTGAGTCGGCTTGTTGACGGTCCTGGGGCCCAAGAACGACTCGTTCTTCGATTTAGCGCAGCCCTACTTGTCGTCTCATCTAGGACGCGTTTCTTCCTGGACCCGTTTTCTTGATGCTCACCTAGTGGCTACCAGCCAGGTGGTACGACGCGACTTCAGAACTGCCCCGAGTGCTGCTGAGGGCAACCTTGGCGGCGGGGTCGGCGACACAACGGAGCCCACGCGCCCCACGGCGCAACTCCCTGGAGATGGCGCCCGCCATGGTCCTGTGGCTGCCATCGGCACCCTCGCCCTCAGCGCCTTCTGCCGACTGCATCGCGATCGCCGCAGGCCCGTCGCTCTCGGCGCCTTCTGCTGCCGGCGTCGCGGCCGCCCCCAGACCGAAGCAGTCCATCTCGTCTCCTCGCGGCGGGTTGCGACGCCTGACGCCCGCCTCCCAGGGCGAGCACGTCGTCCGCAACGCTGCGGCCCTCGCCTCCCAGTGCGCCGGTACGCGGAAGCTCCTGAGCGGAGCCCCCCTCGGCGCCGGCGCCGAGCACGCACTCTGGAGGCGCCCGCGTCCGCAGGGCCTCGCCTCGAGGAGCGCTCGCCTGCCGCCGTCCCTGGACAGCGCGGTGGCGCCCCGGCCCTCGTCGTGTGCGTCGGCGTCCTGGTCGTCGCCGAAGGCGAGCACGGGGGCCGAACTGAGCAACTCCGACTCGGGGTGCGCCGCCGTATCCTTCCCCTGCTCAGCGAGAGCCGCCGCGCCGTCTTGAACCATCGGGTGCTGGCTGGCCATGGCTGGTGGGGTGCTGGCCGGCAGGCGAACACGCAGTGACAATTGTGAGACCTCCCCTGAGCAAAACGTGGCTTCGGTCCACTGGGGCCACTTTGGGCATGCCTTGGTTGTCTTGGGTCCTTGGGCCCACCTGGCGGCTTCTTGAGGCGTCCACTGGCTGCATCTCGGCCATCATGGGGACCTCCTGGAGCCCTCTTGGGGCCGCATTGAGTGCTACCTGGTGCGCTATGAAAATGGAGCCATCTTGAAGGACTCGTCGGGCATATTAAAACCCAATGGGATCACACTGAAGCCTCTCAAGGACCTAAGACCCACAAGACTGACCCAAAGACCAAAAAACACATCAGCATCTTGTGGCCCCCTTGGGCGCAATTGGGGCCCTGGGCAAGTTTGGCAGGGCTCTGGGGGTTCTGGGCGAGCACGGGTCTAACCCATTTGGGGACTCGAATGTCCAACTTTTAGCCCCAAGGAAAACTCCACACAAGACGCCTGCAACGTCTGACCCAAAGATTCGAGGGGCTCGAAAAATAAGACCGATGCGCGCCCCCACTGCACAGTCGAGACCGACTGTAGAGGACGCCTGCGAGGACGCAAGTCTCTTCGCGGGCACACCGCGCTCAGACAAGAGGAGGGCATGAGACACGATCGACAGGACACGAGGGCACCTCTTGCATTGCAGGGCCGACCATGCCCATCATGCCCGACTGAAATTCCTGCCCTCCCCTGGCGCGAGGCGCGCCAATCTCGCCATCGCTCGGACGTCCATTCCCTGTGTTTTTTGTCGGTTTCGTGCGTGGTTCTTCCGCCAAATCATCAAGGATGCTCCTCGATGGTCCTCGCCGAGGAAAAAACGCACACGTCCGAGCGATGCTAGGCAATAGCGGCGCCAGGGGCGCCGCCAGGAGGGTCTGGAACCGACCCAAGCGGTCTGCGCGGGCCTCCGCGACAATTTTTGCTTCTGCGACTTGCTGTTCTTCGAGCCCCGGAAGCGTGAACCGCTCTGCCTCGAGCGATCCGCCGACGGGAGCCTTCCGCGCCGGAGCGGCACAAGCCTGCTGCGTGCTGCCCTGCCCCGGCCACTTTGACGAACCAACAACACACACCCATACCCATAGGGGGGTCGGAGAGGGCTATGGGTGCGTGTTGTCGGATGGGGGTCCCCGCTCGAACGGGAGCGTTCCCCGGGGTCCGACAACCCGCACCCATACCCATAGCCAGTCCTCCTCTCAACGACCCCCCCTATGGGTATGGGTGTGTGTTGCTCGTTCGTCACACTTGCTGGCGGCGCGGAGAGGGGGGTAGAGGGGTGGGGGGACGGCTTCTCAGAAGGAGGCTGCTTCTCAGAAGGCGCCGGCCTCACATCTGCAGACAAGGCCCGCGCCTTCTGAGAAGAGTGGGTACTTCGACGAAGCCTCCCCCCCCTCCCCCTACCCCCCCTTCTGCGCGTGGCCGAACTCGACTGGTGTAGACGGCGACAAAACCAGACGTGTTGTGGTCGGGGGTCCACGGGGGCTTCTTGCACCGCGAGGGTGAATGACAGGGAGGGGCCTGGCTCGGGTAGGGAGGGAGGGGGGAGCAGTGACTTGGCATCGGCGATGCATCGCCTGCGGATCGGCGGTAGGCCTCCGACATCGAAACGCCGACTCCCCACGCCTGCGCCAGTCCCCCTCTGTCGTTGCCCCTGATATCGGCGCTGGGATCCCGCGGCGCCTCCAGCGCGGTCTCTGGAGCGCTCCGCATGCCGCCGATTTCAGAAGTCTTTGCGAAATCTCTGAAAGCTGATGTTTGTCATGTTTTTTCGTCGACGGTGGCAACACTGGCATTTTTATAGCTTGTGTTTGTTTGCTGCTCCTCGTCCTGCCCCTCCCGCCGCTGTTCCTTTGGAACGGCCTGCTCCAGCCCCCCCGGAAATCAAAGTGCACCTCTGGAAATGGCCGCGTTCTTCCCTGTGCCCCTGCCGAAGCTTCGAGTATTACACGCTTGTTCATGACAAGCATGGGTCGGTGGGGAAGAACACTTAAATTTGAAGGTACGCTCTTCGACTTCCAATGGAAGACCGCCCACCTGCGCATGATCGTTTGCAGTGACGGCATCGCCGACATCGGCATCATTACATATCGGCGCCCGCCCCTGCGTACGGCTCAACTGGCGCGGAGGAACTCGGGAGGGGGAGGGGGAGGAGGATGATTACCCGAGACCGTGCAGCGGAGGAACTCGGGAGGGGGGAGGGGGAGGAGGATGATTACCCGAGACCGTGCAGCGGAGGAGGACTCGGGAGGGGGGAGGGGGGAGGAGGATGATTACCCGAGATCGTGCAGCGGAGGAACTCGGGAGGGGGAGGAGGAGGAGGAGGACTACCCGAGATCGTGCAGCGGAGGAACTCAGGAGGGGGAGGGGGGAGGAGGATGATTACCCGAGACCGTGCAGCGGAGGAACTCGGGAGGGGGGAGGGGGGAGGGGGAGGAGGGAGAGGGGGAGGGGGACCGGGGGAGGAGGAGGAGGAGGAGGAGGAGGAGGAGGAGGAGGAGGAGGAGGAGGGGGAGGGAGGAAGAGGACTGCCCGAGAGCGTGCAGCGCTGGAGCTATAGGTTCCTGCTGGCACGGCGCACAAGACATCCGCCGCCGTGCCCTCGAGGCACGGGCCGGAGTGCCCTCGGGTCCTCCGCCCAATCCCTGAAGCCCCGAGTCCTCGAACCGGGGGCTTCTTCGAAGGGGCCGGGTCCCAAATTTGCCCGCAAATCTTCTCGGGCGCGCCCAAAATTGCCCTAAATTGCGTCCTCAAGCCGAGGGCTTCTTCGAAAGGACCAGGCCCAAATTTGCCAAAAAACATCTTCAATGGGGCGCGCCGCCAAAAGACGATGGAGCACCTATAAGACATAATTTGTTGCTGCCTCCTCGGACCAACTGGGGGATTCTCTGGGGAGGCAATGAACCGTCTCGAGCCTCTTGGGCCGTCTTTGGGAGCTTGGGCCGTCTTCGGGCCCTCTTGGGGCCCTCTTTGGGCCTTGCGGCGGCCTCCCTTGGCCCTCTCGGCGCTCACTTGGGACCCTCTGGGGCCCCTCTGGGCCCCTCTTGGGGGGTCCTCGGGGGCTTCGGGCGGCCGTCTTAGAGAGTAGCCTTTGGAACGCGTGTTTGGCCTAACTGGGCACTCCGTGGGGCCTATTGAACGCATCTTGGACTTTCTTGAGGCCATGGTAGGCCATAGAACGCTGTTGGGCGGTCTTGGATATTCTTGGAGCGCTCTTGGGCCGTCTCGGAGCCGTATTTGACCTCTCTATGGGCCGTCTTGGAGGTATCGGAGACCGTGTTGGACACCTCTTGGGCCGTCTTGCCCCAACCCTCCCCCCTGGGGAGGAGTTAGACCAAATTATGTTTGCTAAGCCCCTCCCTAAAGGGATTCGCCCCACCTAGAACGTCATCACTCGTACCTCGCTCTTTCCGTCATTCCTGGGGCCACACATGCCAACCCGCTCGAACTCCCGCTAACTGTAATTCTTCCGACTGACGGATCGCACGCGATGCGCGCTTTCCGTCATCCCTGGGGCCCGGGATGCCAACCCGCTCAAACTCCCCCCAATTGCATGTCTTCCGACTGACGGATCGAGCGCTATGCGCGCTTTCCGTCACCCTTTGATCCGCCCATTCTTTCTCGCTCGCAATCCCCGTGGACGTTGGAGTGCCATGTGGCACCTGCTTCAGAACCAGAACATGCCGTAGACCTTAGACGGATCCACCTTTTTGTTCAGTGCCCCGTAGACCCGGACACGCTAGACCCGGACACCCAACATCCCTCGAAACCAACTTTTCCAGACGGCGGCACGAACAAAAAAATGAACTGCAACATTTCCAAACAAAAACCAGACACAAGCCCTAAAAGCCTGCAAGACCCCCCCTAAACCCGGATGCAAACCCGAATCCTGCAAGCAACAAACAAAACATGCACGGGTGCTGAAAAATGTGAGCTTGCAAGAAAAAGTGCCGTTTCCTTGGTTTCCCGTGACCTGGTATAGTTGTGTCCTGGTCCGGGGGCCTGATTTGTCCGACCTTGTACTCCGCCGGACGCAACGGACGTTT